TTCCAGATTGAACTTGTTTGCCTGAAAAGGATTCTTGTTGGAGAGTACGTGTTTTTTCTCAAAACAAGAACTAATGCTTCTAGTGCAAAGGTTAATTTTAAATTCAGAGAATCCCCTTGTCTTAATAAAGGGACAAAAAAAGTCTGTTATTAATGTAGGACCCAGCACAGGACGAAAGCTTTCCTTTTAGCTTTAGGGGGAAGAGGGGAAGTGACTCACAACTGTCCTTATACTGTTTTTTGCTTCTCTGAGAAGAATATTTGGACCATTATCAAAATGCGTAGCTCTTAAAATGCTTCTGATTTGTGGGCTTGCAAGAGTTTGGATCAATGGACACTTTACAGACAGAACTGTCACGTAAAATGATGTGCCCCCACTCATCAAGTGGGAAGATAACCCAGGTATTTACCACTGAGTTCATGTTCTGTCTACCATACCATACTAAGGTCTTAATTCAAGTAAAACAACATCTAAGTTAGCACTACTCTGCATGAAGGTTAAATCAGATCTTAAGAGGCCCCTTCCAACCTGTATTATTCTGTGATTTTTATGATATGACTCATTAGCTCTTCACTGAGAATTTTACCAAATTTGGGACTTCTGCATTTGACTCTAGAGTCAGGAGCCACTTTAATGCAGATACTTTAAAAAACATTTTCCTTGCCTTAGCTGAAAACAAATCTTAACCAGTAGAACATTTTGATTAAATTAAGTATGTTGCATGGAGTATTACAGCAGGAGTTGAATACTATGGTGACCAGCTAGCTCATTTTAAAGCCACGACATGTGATGTATGAGGAACCTGCTGCACCTTCTAATGCAATACCAGTCTTGGCAAAGCAAGCCCGGCCCTGCCCTCCATTCAAAATTCAGAAGAGTAACAAACTACACTTGGTTCACTAGTAACAGAGTAAGTAACCATAAATCATTAGCTTATTCATGAGTGTATGTGCTTCTGGACAAAAACCCCAACACGCATGACTTGATTTTCATCTAATGCAAAGCCAAGCCCTTTTAGGAATATGTAAAGTAATAGTGAAATGAAATACCAAGCCATTTATATAAAAAATATAAATACTTTATTTTCAACTAAAAAGGTGCAAACATGTAACTTTTGGTCACACTTCTCAACAAATAAACTGTCCAAAAAAAGCCATAGTCAAAGAAAGAAACAAAAGCTCGAGTGGAAAGACTGATGAGCTACAGAAGAGCCATCTTTCTTAAAGCCACTTGCCCAATAAAGTGGAAGTAAATGTATTTTGCCAGACGAGTGCTTTGTAAGGATACAGGCACCTCAACTCTAATACTCTCCGTCTTGGTCTCAAGTCACCATTTGGCCCTATCGGAACAGTTTCCACTAGAGTATCTGTTTCATGCTTTGAATGCATTGTCAGACAAGCTGTAAATCCTACCTATCTTGTTCCAAAAAAGAAGGCTATCATTGAAATTTCAAAGCATTGAACAAAGGCACAAAACTTTAAATTAATTTAGATAACTGTACAAATATATATACACACAGTATTTACAATATTAAAAAAAAAGTAGCTTGTTACAGGTAAATTAACTGTCACAAGCTGTCCAGTCTAATAGACATGATTCTGATTCTTGTTGACCAAGCCATATGAATCAGAGTGTCAGAGCTGAAACATTACTGTCCTGACTAACAGAACACCTTCTACTTAACACTTTGCTGGGTGAGGGTTTGCATTCCAGCTGTTGCTGTCACGAGCCCAGCGCCAGCAAACATGCTAACGGTCTCCTTCTCAATTGCACTACTAGATGAAGCACGCTGTACCACATTAAGGGAACATTTGCTTATGGAATCGCATCACACTGCTTTTCCCGCCTACTTCCCTTAAGCCCTTCACACCACCTCACAAACAGCATGTTCTGAAGCTGTGTCTTGCTGTGGTCCCACTGTCCATTTTACCTTCTTCTTCAAACCACCATTTGGGGTCAGTAGAAAAATTGTCTTAAGTCACATGGAGCAGTTTGTTGAAATTAAAAAAAAAAAAAAAAACTGATTTAAATACCTTGTGCTATTGAATCATGTTTACAAAATGAGATGCAAATCAGTTCAAGTTGAGAATCTAGTTAGCGTCTCCTTCTGGCTTTATGCCATGTCTCCATACATCTTTCTGTAGTACAGAGACTCAAAGATGTCATTGTCTCCAGGGCAGTTGTAGTGGCACGCGCAGGTCTTGATGAACATCATTTTCCTTTTCATGATCTCCCCATCAGGGCACTTGAACTCCACGGGGAGGGTGGCTGTTCTGTGGGGTGTGCAGCAGCGTCCATCAGTGCAGACACCACAGAACTTAGCTCTGTAGGTCTTCACGCTGGTGCAGCCAGACAGCTCAAACTTGACAGGCTTGGAGATTTTGGGGGTGCGAATGCACTTTTTGCCTTTCTGTTAGGATACAGGTGAATACAAAAGGTTTAGAAGGTAGGCTTTCACACAGCACTAAGTTTGCAAGCTAAGGGCAAGCAGACACACTCATCCTTATTATATTTTCATTAAGCAAGAACATCTTACATAGTGCCGTAATACGGCATGAGAGAAAATTAAGGGCATTTAATTGCAAACTATTCAGCACCGGGGCAAAACTCAAATTTCAAGGTAAATGACTTGAAAGTGACTACCTGTCAGAACTGCACGTTTTTTGGTAAGACACTGGGTTTTGCTAGTGGATGGAAGCATCCTAGTAGCTCGTACATAAAGATGAGACTATTTACCTTGATGTTCTCCTCCAGGTCTGCTTCGCAAGGTCTGACCATGCACAGTCTACTCTGTTTCTCCAGTCTGCAGAAGGCATTGTCATTGGTGACCCGGGTTGAGATGCCCATGCCACAGGTCTTGGAGCAAGCACTCCATTCGGTGGTCTGCACCAGGCAGTTGGCACGCATCATCGTTGGGTCTGGACCGTAAGTATCTTCCAGTCTGTAAGCTGCAGGGGGACAGACAACCAGGATGAGACCAGGGTCTGACCTCACGCCCTGCTAGAGGCTCTCTTCTTTTTCCTTAGAAATTCAGGCAGCCAGGCTTATCTGCGGGGTGACCCCACTAACC